ACTGTTGAAATTTGAGCTTTCAAATCCATGTCTGTCCACAATTATCATAGTTTGAAAGTTAAAATGATGACTCGTCTTTTCTTGAGACTCTGCCATATTAGAAAAGACATAGAAGTGAAATTTCTAGATCGAAATATTTTTGAAGGGATTATGTGATTTTTTGTGCAGTTCTAGTACTTCTGAAGACTATTTACATTTATTCAAGACCCAAATCAACCCCCAAAAATGATGAACAATGGCCTTTAAATACTATTTTATGAATCAGTGGATGTCAATTGGAATTTAATTCTTTAACATCTTGCAATCTAAAGTCATACTCCACCCAAATAAAATGTGAATTAGGAAGGTGTAATTGTACAGAGATTATATATGCTGAATTAATCAATTAATGTCATTATTTCTGATAGTAAATGTCAGATATAATAGATCTTAATACATGGGTCATTTGTCTAGCTAGACATATCAACAATAATAGTTGGTGTAACAAATGTACCAAGGGCTAGGTCTTAAAACATGACCTCATAATTATTTGATCGGAAGATCAAAACCCTAGCTAGATTGTTGGATAAAATAGTTTACAAATCATTCAATTTTCTACAATAATTTGTCAAAAATACTTTCTTGTGTATAAAGATTGTGATGCTAGTATAACACCTTTATTAATATATTTTTTCAATTAGACTAAATAAACACTGTTTAAATACCTGGTGTTTTATCAAAAAAAAAACTCTAAAGTGATTTTAGTGGTCCAGTCATCTGCCTTGTCCATCAACAAAAATCAATTTGTAAATTTAGTCTAGTAAGATCATTAAAGATGGGTTCCCTTATTTTCATTTATGGAAATGCTAATACTTATATGAATAGAAAGTACAGGTGTTCCAATGACTTGGAAAAATACCAGTTTGTTTCACACGTTCAAAATTTATTCATAATTATCATATCTCAGTCAACTATGGCAATCAAAACTTCAATCCTAACAGCACTAAGAGCCTCCAGCAAATAGTGCCAACATATAAGGGGTTCAAAAGTTTAAATTTAGATAATATATTTTGGTAAACCATAAGACTTGCTATAAAATTGTGTAGACTATGTAAGCTATGTACCAGGAGATCATTTTAATGAAATAAAAAACAGTCCTGAATCAGCTGAAGAAATCTATCTTTCTATCTCATTGGTTATACAGTTAATAAATCGAATTGCTTTTGGCCACTTTCAATAAATATCCACACTAAATTGTATTCCTTTCACATTTATACAGTCTTAAAATGGAATTCCTTTTATGAAATTGTTCATAAAGTGGAGAAAAACATATTGAAGCTTTAAGGCTGAAAGAAATTTAATAAGAATAATGGGGTAGAATTACATTTGGCTGATGATATTGAAGAAAGCTGATTAATGAAAAAATCTCCCAGCTTCTACTTCTATACTAGATTTCTTTCGAAATTTCTTACTAGATTGTTTTTCATGTGTGTAATTTGTGTCTATCTTTCTCATAAAAAGGCTGGATTTTTTGTGAATTTCTCAGACATTGCTCTTCCTGTAGCAACATTACAGACCCTGTATGCTACAAGCTGTGCACATGATCTCTCAACAGTTAGAATATGTTAATGACGCTGTCCTGGTAATTTTTTTCCCTCACTGCACACTGCGTAGAACTGCCTGTCTTCATTAGCCCAATTAGGAGCAGAAGAGACGGACATAAAAATCTTTCATTGATTTCATTTCAGTCTAAAAACAGAATTTCTCAGTTGATATAGAGCTCTATCTAGTATCTGTCCATTCTGTCATTTCAAAATGTACATGTATCTGACATCTAGATTGTCTGTTACGCAAGAAAAATTTAATCATTTGAACACTTACAATTCGTTTCTGATATAACAGTTCAACCAGATGTCATATTTTCCATTTGAAAAGTGATACAGACAGCTTAATTTGATCTATATTAGCTGGCTAAGCAAATACATGTATTTAGATGAATGTATTTCTTTCTCAATGACTATAAACTAAAAGAATTTTTTAAATTTTAAAAGAAATTCAACCAGGACAAACCAGATGAGATTTCAATCCATCAAGAATAGGACGGTCTATTGTATTGTACAGTTGATTTATTTACTTATTCAGGTAGAGTAGACTGTAAAATAAATAATAAAACAAAGAATGTTGATTTGAAACTGTCAAATATATGAGAGAAAACAGGTCACTAGACTAAACTATCATCTACATTGTCAAACTGATGATCATGTTAAAGGATTAGAGAGAAAGGGAAATAGACTGTATTCTAGATTATTTCACCATATAAATCACTGTACGAAGATTGGAAACATGGATTGTACAAGAACAGAAGCTTAAGCCAGGCCTAAGAATCCTTTAAGGTGCTTCTTAACAATGTCAAGCATGCTATTACAAACTACATACTTATACCTTGACTGCAGTAGCCACTATCTTTATATCACAGAATGCAGCGATTTGATCGGATGGTTTCCAGTCTAATTAAAACTAGATCAAACTTTTTTTTTTTATTAGCTTTAAGTTTTAATATGGCCACTTTAGTTAGGGTCTAACGACAGCCTGCGTGAATATATCAATAGGAATCATTATCAAACAAACTTAAATACTACATAGACCTACGTGTGATTGTTGACAATGTCTTGCAAATGAACTTCATAGCTCCCTCTTTGCTGTAGGGTAACAGGATGTTGGATTTTAAATTTGAAAACTTATCTAACAATAGTCACAACAGCTAAGCAAACAAGGTCTATCAGCTAGACCTACCAGTCGGTGGCTTTTATACAGGGGATCTAGCAGGGACTATACCCCACACCCCAGAAAAGAGACCAACACTGCTTTTCACACCCACTTTCAAATTTTCACATAGTGATTGCCTCTGCCACACCCCTCCCCCCCTGGAAAATTTTGTGGCCCCTGCTCTGCCCTCTCAGCTAATGTTTCATAGAAATCCTACTCAGTTATTTTTCAAATCAATAAAAAATCTTATAACTTCCCTCTTGGAAAGAAATCTTAATACATGTTAGTAAATAATACAAATCAATATATCAAGTAGTAGTCAACACAGAAACAATTTGTTCAAGATTTCAACTGAATAGAGATCTATAATAACACACTAGATTTTACATACCTTTTTAATATGGTGATTTTTCCTCTGATGTTTTTCATGGTTTCTCTTACCACCAACACACACATTCGTCACGATTAATACACATAATAATATGCCTAAAACCCTCATTGTAATTTAAATAAATAAAATAATTTCGTTCAACACATCTGACTACGTCCACCTGAATGTCTTCAATCACTATAAATAAATTGTATTACAACGAAGTACATTCACGATGAGTCCATTTCAGTACGAGGTATATTGATTTTGGCTTCGTCCATTTTGTAGAAGGAACTTAACCAACCCGAAGGGAATGCCTAGTTTACAGACGTTGAGTTGCAAACAATAAAAGACTTAAAATACAACCATTAATATTGGGATACTTATATAAGTACCTTCTTTTCTCCTTTTCAATTCCCTGCAGGGTAATACGCCATTATCTGTATGATATATATGCACAAGAAATTGCACGGTTTTTGAGTCTCAATAGATTATGTGTGGTCTGAAAAAGAAGCCGTTACCTCCCATCACTTCTTAAATTTAGAGCTAAGACCTAAACCCTAGGCTTGTTCGGCAAGAATTTCTCATATGAAATATACATTTCAATTATTCAATGATTACATCCTTTATCGACTGAGTACAGAAGACTTGCATTTGTCAGAGTAAAAAAAAAAAAGGGGGGGGTCGTGAACTAGCAATATAATCGTCTCTTGTACGCCGCATTGTTTTCGCTTGGATAAAAAAGACTAGAAAGGATTGTATAATTATTTGGCTGTTTAGTGAATAATTTCGAACAAGTCGGGTCACAAGTGAGTATCTGACACTCTATGTAAAGCTTTAACATATCTATGTCAAATTGCGTCACGGTCATTATATTTCCTGATTCCCAATCTCGAAGAACTTTTCACTCCAAGCACCTCGCGAACCAAATTAAGCCAACTCTTTATTCCCCGGTGACACCACCCACCCAAATGAAGAACCAGGGAGATCAAAATTTAACAATTAATTGGCAACAGTTATAATCAAACCATCGACCAAAAAGACAACATTTTGGCACATTCTACAGAGAAATTTCAATTTTATGTTTATTTTTTATCCAACAATGCAATTTAAAGCGTCCCAGATATTTCTCAATAATCCACTAAGGTGGTTTACAGGTACCTCTGATTGGAAACTAGGGTAGGCTACTTAGTGATTGTGACGTAAACTCGATTCTTACAAAATAATAGAGATGCGTATGATTTTAGATTGTTTCGTCACGTCACTGGGACACAACTAACATATTAATACAGTTTAATACAAATCACGTGCCAACATACAATTTAAAGGTATATATCCCTATTTTACGGGAAAATTGTGTTTGTAGAAGAATTGTCTCCGATACTCTATACTGTATTGGAACGAAAGGTAATCAATTTCTTTCAATATTAAAGATACATTCTCTCAAATTTTCCCTCCACAAATCTCAAACAAGTCTTTGTTCTTAATGAAGGGAAAAAACGAATCCTACATTTAAAAGATATGATAGACTTTCCTCATTAGAATGGAAATATCCGCAGCATTCTAGTCTGAGTCTTTTCTAAAAAATTATCGAACGTTTAAAAAAATCAAAACAAAACAAAGTAGGCTACAATAGCGGTTTATATGGAGGACTATTATATATATTTACATATATTCAAGACCAAAATCAACCCCCTAAAATTGCGGATCTTTACTTTACTATTTGTATAAACTTACACATATTTCAATGAAGGTTAACTAGCTTTAAATTTGTAAATGAAAAAACAGAAATCCCCCAATATTCAGGCTATCGATCCGTTAAAACATAAATAAGTGGACGGTAATGTGAATAGATTGTCATCGTTTTACTTACAGATAGAAAATCATGGCAGATGAAGAAACTATGTTACAAGAGGTCATGCAGATCATTTTGGAAGAAAATGATGATAGCATGTATTTTTGGGAAATCAAACAAAATTATACTGGACAATTGCCCCTAAAACTATACACGATCAAGTCCTATCCGTTTCTGTTTGAGATTTCTCAAGATAGACGTGGTCACATAGTAACCATTGTGGCTCAAACCAAAATCTGCCCAGATTATTCAACACCATCGGGATGTCAGCACGGTAATTGTTGGATGTTTCATATATGTAAATTCTACATTCTATCGAAGTCATGCTTTCACAAATCGTGTCGTTTTGGTCACTCGTTGAAATCAGAACACAACAGGCAGCTTTTAAGATTGATGTCGTTAGACCATCATTATATAACTAAAAATCAACTTAGAATGTTGTTTCGGCGTCTATCATGTAGGACTAGAGGGTCCGTACCAGTTCCATGTAATCAATATAATTGGAAGAACTCGTGTAAAAGAGATGACAAATGCCATAACCTTCATATCTGTAAATATTTACTCCTGGGTGGTTGCAAATATGGAGATGAGTGCAACAAGAATCATAGTATCTACTCCGAAAATGTGGAGTTCGCTTTGAACAGATACGGCATTACTGTTCCAAGTAAAAACAACTCTGATGAAGATTATGACGATGAATACGATTATGATGAAGAATATGGCGATGATGATGATGATACTGATGATGATGATGATGATACTACTGCAACTACTAGTGATGATGATGATGATACTACCACTTCTGATGATGATGATACAAGTGATGATGTTGAGGAGTCCGAAGAGGAATCATTGATAAAAACTTTAATCGAAATTTACATTGATAACAACATTACACTAGAAAGTTTAAGAGCTGAAACCTTTATGGAATTAAAGCTGATCAATAACGCTGGACCTTCTTGTCCACCACAAGAGAATGATGTTGGTGATGTCCATAAAGTCTATAAAAGACAATCTAAAACCATTCTGTTATTTGAATTCCAACCTTCATATAACATTTGTATCTACTACTTGGGAGGGTCTTGTCGATTCAAAGAGCGATGTCGAAATATTCATGTGGAATCATCGTACCAATGGCAATGGATTCCTGATAGTTCTAGAGGTGACGAGTGGGAAAATCTGCCCACAGGAATTAATCATGATTTTGAAATATGTTATTGTAATCTACAAGAATTGATAAGTTTTCTGTCTCCAGACACGTGAGTTATTTTTCAGAATATTTCACCTAACAGTTTGTGTTTTTTTCACGAGTTGTTAAAATATTGCTCAGCCAAACTTGGCTTGTGACAAGAATGTCTTCAAACAAGATATGCTTCTGAAGCCTGATCATATATATACTATTTTTACTGTCTCTACACCAGCCGACATCTGTCCAAAAAACTGTCAGAGGCTGAAATAGAGACAGATGTTTCGGTCTAGTATGTGCACATTGTGCTCATGTTGAGCCAAAACAGGCTTTCCTACTAACAAAAGTGGTAGGCAATAGGCATGTTCGTTGGCATCTTCACAAGCTTCTTCAAGCTTTATTGGTTGGTAGATGACAAGTTACCGTTCGTTGAGATCTCTAACTAGGTATAGTTGTTGGTAGTCGTAGTAGTTTGATTGATTCAATTTGGACGATTCTGTGTTGTTTGTTTGGTTGTTGATAACTCGTGAGATCTGGTACGACCGAATGACAAATATCAAGCTATTACGAACATTGACTGCGATAGCCACCTTTATTGTATCACAGAATGCAGCGATTGGTTGGATTGTACGACATAGTATAGCCAAACAGACCCCTCGACAAAAGGAATGTAAAAATTGTGACTTTTGATTTACAGACTTTCTGTCGAAGGCTCTGATGGACTGTATTCACTAACGTACAATCATACCGAATCGATGCATTTATTGGCACTTCTGTGCTACAAGAAAGGTTGTCATTGCAGTTAATGTATAAGACCTCAGTGCGTAATAGCTTGACATTGTGAAGATGATTCGTTTGTGAAGCCCTTGTTTTGTTGGTGAACTCACCATTTACCAGAGAGAGATCTAACGGCTACTAAAGGCTATATTTTTGTTATTTTACATCCAACAGTAAATCTGAAATTTTTACTCAATAAAACTACAATTCATTTGAATCATGATGTTTATCAAATGCAGGTTGATACAGAATTGATATTTCTTCCTCTTCAGGGGAATTACATATTCCATTGATTTAGACTATTTAGAAGAAAATGATGTTGGATTTCGCCGCGTTGCAACAGTGGATTTAACGCCAGGTACTAGTTTGTTCTGTAAACCATGGGCCACAAAATGGATTTGGTACTGGTTAGACAATGATGGAAAATGGATAGAATATGGACAAAAGGTATATAAGTATGCAAACTGTATCTAATTTGAGGAACTTTCGTTTGAAATGCCAAACCTAACCCTTCCAATTTATATATGAATAAAAAGAGTTCTAAAATGTTGGTAATTATGCCTGAATGGGCACAGTTATACATTTTATTAGACTATTAATTTCGCCTGAATGAGGCCACAATGATTGATATTATTTAGCAACAAAATAATATTTTCATTATAAAACGTATTTGAAAGAGTTGTTCGGTTGTTTTAGGAAGTCTCCGAATATATGCTCTGTATGAATATGTTTGCGTATCTTATCATGTCTTGTAATCTATTTCTACTGTATTTGAATAGGGTTCTCTTGGTCATTTTGCTACCGTCATATCACAAGATATTGAAACAGCTTATAATGAAAATGTAGACTTTAGTTTCACTACACAAGATACAGAAAGGAGAGAGGAAGATCACCAAAGGTACATCTTAGATTTTAATAGAATGAAGCAAATTAATGCTAAGTATGGAACACAGAGAAAGATAAAAAGAAGACCCGAGTTTGTTGACGACTCTGTTATACAGAAACGGTAAATACAGTTTAATAAACAGTTCCAAATGAGTCCCAAATTACACATATTTTGTCATACACATAGACGCATGATGCCGATGTTCAGCGTCTTGGATTTGGATTATACTTCTGTCATACAGAAACCGTATTCTGGAAAGGAACTGAAATTCCAAGCCGGAAGCATAATACTACAAATGTGTCTTGATTGCTGGTTTTTCATTACTTTTGGACGTATCTTTTCGCTTTCTGTTAATCCGTCCAATTTTCGTTCCCTTTTCCACACATCCGCGTATACTAAATACTTAATTGGGTACGTTATCTACAGACTTTGGAGATTTCTTTAAGATTGCACTGACCATTGACCTATCTCTTCATAAATTGGTTTACAATGAAATAACCGATTTGATCTCGATTGAATTATAGAAAAGATGAATGTAACAGAAGAAAAAAGTTCGAGAAGTTAAACATACCTTCAAATTGGAGTCATACACCAAATGAGGATATTTATTCACATTTCCGTGTGGAAGAGGTAAATTTCCAAAAGGTTTTCCCGAGACCTTCCACGGATTTTGAAGTTACAATTTCAAATCTGTATTGTAACCTACATGAGATTACGGTGGAATGATTACACAAGCTTAAATTTCGCGAAATATATTACACATATTCGTTCTCAAAGAGAGTTCATTTTATTCGTGAAGCCATCAAGCACGTTCAAACGCAAAACAATGTTAGGCTTTTAGAAAATCGTCTTATGTCTTAAATGCAATAGAAACCTTTCTTGATCTCCAAAATTTGTAAATGCAGCTATTTGTATTGTACGCTAGTGAAAACAGCCAAGAAGAGAACTCGATGGAAAGTCTGTAAACAATAAGCCATAATGTTTAAACAGTCTGCCTGCAAGCCAGCAAGGCTATGATTGTCTGTATTCGCTAGCGTACAATCCAGTCAAATCGCTGTATACTGTGATACAAGAAAGGTAGCTAATGTAGCCAATGTATAAGGCGAAGATCGTAATAACTTGACATTGTGAAGATGGTTTGAACGTTAATTTATTGTTTATAGATGCAAATAAAAAATCATAAAATGAATAATTTTTCTTAACCACTTTCAGCTAAACCCAACAAGTGAAGAATATTTATCTATTAAGCAAAGTATTGTCAGTGGTAACAATGTTGTCAAAAATATAAGTAGTATAAAAAGAATAGAAAACGTGGAATTGTGGACTGCTTTTTGTGCGTAAGTATCTAGTGTAATATTCTATCAAAGACATTTCCAGATGGTTAAGTAAATTTAATCTATCATTTCTTCGTAAAACGTTGAAAGCGATCACAAACAGTTGAAACGACTATATACTCAGTGTGGCGCAGCACTTCGCATTTTTTTCATGTGTTCGAAATAAATCTGGCGACCACGATAGAGATGCATAAGCCAATTTCTTAGATTCCTTAAAACAAAATTAAGTGAATATACTCAGCTATCTGTTTCACCAGATATAAAGATGTAAGGTAAATACAGTCTTATTCAGTTTGCCTATAGGTTAATCCGCCTCTGGTCTTATTTTCAGATCGTAATACGTAATTCTTCCTTGGATTTTCATTGGTCCCATATGATATTGTTTTATATCTTGTTTCAGCGAAAAAGCAATACTGGATAGAAAGTTACAAAGAGATGTTCCTATACAAAGGTTATATCATGGTACAGAAAACAGTATTATAGAAGCTATTTGTAGACAAGGTTTCGATTGTCGTCTGTCTGGAAGTAGAGTCGGCCATCTTTATGGCAAGGGAGGTTACTTTGGTATAAATTGTGATGTTTCTTGTAACTACTGTGACGATAATAATATGTTGTTTATTGTTCAGGCTGTGGTAGGTGATTATACAGTAGGATGTGAAGGCTATCTTCGACCTCCATTAAAAAATCCCTATGATCGCTCTAGTGCTTTGTATGATGCTTGTGTAGATAATATGAAATCGCCGTCCATGTTTGTATTATTCAATAACAGACAAGTTTATCCTGAATATCTTGTCAGATTTACAAGGTAAAAGTCGAAATCAGCTGCTGTACAATGTCCAATACGATATATTGTTTTAGTTTTGTTTGTTATATATTAGTTTGTTAATTATTCTATCTTTTTTTTTCAAAGTATCAAACCAATATATCTTACCAAAAAAATTAAGAAAAATATTTTCGACAAAAAAAAAATTCAACAATTTTAAAAACTCTTTTTTCTTTGTAAATATTGTTGTTTTATTTAGTGAATAAAACAGAGAAGAGAGTTTTTATGATATTTAACATCCCACATCCCTTCGAGGGAAATGGTTTTAGTTATCAAAAAACACGGAGAGAAAGAGTTTTATCTGACTTATTAACCGACAACCCCATTAAACTAGCCCCATTTGCTAGTTTTTTTTTTATATAAAAAACAATAAATAATAATAACAACGTGCGCAACTCGTGCCTCAAGATTCGATCAGTTTATCAACCAGTGAGCTAGACTTTGGAGTTTGACATGTATAATTTGGACTCTCTTAAATAAACAAGGACACATTACGCCACATGCAAAAGAATCCCGTGAGCCGAGGTAAATGAGTGATAATGTTGGACATGAGGCCCTATTATACCCAATCTCATTTAAAATACCTAATGTGAAACAAAACGCATCGCATGAACACTACTTGCACCTAATAGTGTCCATAAATCCAAAACATTCCCAGAAAAAGACGGTTTAAGGCAAAGGGGAGCAACTCGCATTTACAAAAGTAGTCAATTCATTCGGCGAGCAGTGAGCTTGACTTTATGTGTAATAAGGCCTTCTGTAGTTTAATTGCTATATATAATATAATCCATGGGATTATCGATATTTTTTATTATTCATACATATCTTGAATATTGCATGTTGTTTTATATATCAAACCTTTTTGTTCTAATATATTATACATTTGACTTACTCAAGACTTCATCAACTCACATGATCACACCAAATCGAATGAAAATTGCAGCTTCTGTTCTGCCCCCGTCAAATGCGAAATTTTCAAAAACATTATTATGATGACACTTATTTTGACGAGTTTTTACAAGTCAAGGGCAATCACACAAAAACCATTATTCGAAAAACTTTCCAAGATGTCATATAAATGATCACCCCCAAGTTTCATTAAAATAAGATGGAAACTATAGTCTCTATTGTGCTAAAAAACAAACCCAAGGCGCGTTTTTCAAAGTCAAGGGCAATAACTCAAAAGCCGTTAATCGAAAAATTTGTCCAAGATCTCATCGATATAAAAGATGAGAACAAATTTCATGAAAATCAGATACAAACGAAAAACAAACAAAATGTTAACAGACGTGGCCGATGGACGGACAAAGGTAACGGTAATAAATGCTCACATTTCTACGTGAGAGTATGAGGCCAAAAGCCAAGTTAAATGACGTATTAATATGCCAAGCACAATTAATCAAGTACGATCATCGAAAAATCACAAATAGTATATATACTCAAAAGAGATACACAAGCATGTATAAAGTTTTAACACAAGCCGATTGCCATCACAAGACAACTTTTGGCTTATTTTTAAAGTCAAGGGTAATAACTCAGAAAAACTGCATCGAAAATTCGCATATATCGAACTCCTCTGAGGTGTCACAAATGTCCATATGCAATGCATACCAGCTTTGGTCAAAATCGGATGAAAACTGTAACCTCTATCGTGTTCACAAGTCAATTGTGGCGACGACATTATATTTCAAGTATAATATTGGTGCAGAAAAATGTAATTCTAAAAATAATTCAAAGCAAACATAACTACCTTGTACTATATGCATATTCTTCATAAATGTTACTCATTTGACGCACAATGACAGTGTCATGTTTTCATTGAAAGATTGCCTCAAAGTTTTAACATTTTCAACCAATCTAAATAGGTTATTTGTTTACTCTTAGTATCAACTATATAGAAAGGGTATTATAATATATCTATCTACAGAGGTATAATATCAACACTCAGTCTTACAGCAGCCTTGTGACCGCCACATTCAATTACCTGCACGTTTTTCTATTTAAGTTGGGCCAATTGAAACTCATACTCAGAGGATTCGAAGAATTTGAATTCAATATTGGAGCGACATTACATTTCTATTGTGTTTCAAGGAAGGATGGAACAATAACTCACGATTTGTAAACTGACTTAAGACAACTTTTAGCAACTTCATTATGGAATTTCGAGACAGAAGTAAAGTGCAGATTAACAAAAGGATTATTTATTTGTTTGTGTTTTTATTTATTGCTATACCAGTGATAGTTGGTTGTCTAGTTTGGCATTTCACGAAGAATTCGTACAATACGTCAGCAACTACGGACAGCATAAAAGGAGAAGATGGTAGCACTACAAGCATGACGTCAACAACTCCTGGATATTATCCTGATGAACCCTGGAGAAACCTACGTCTACCTCGCACCATTCTTCCAGTACACTATGACTTAACACTGTATCCAGATTTTTATGAAAATAATGGTTGGTTTTATGGTAACGAAACCATTACGATTCGTCTTGATGAATCTTCGAAATATATTCTAGTACATTACAAATTTATGAATATTACTAAAACAGAATTACGAGAAGCTGGAACAAATAATCAGATTGATATTGCTCGAACATTTACCAATGAAGAGAATCAATTTTGGGTAGTTCAAACTTCTACAGATATTGCAAAAGGAAGTATGGTCGATTTATACTTGGAATTTGATGGATCGTTGACAAATGCTATAGTTGGTTTTTATAAGAGTACATACGTTAATTCTATTACTAATGAAACCAGGTAAGATTACTTATTTCAAAAATCATCGAAACTTCGTATTACACTGTCTATATTTGTACATAGGTTTAGCCAGGTACACCATCGTCCATTGTTTTTGCATCTTCACAATGTCAAACTATTACGAACTTCTTCTTACACCTTGACTGCAATAGCCACCTTTCTTGTATCATGGAATGTAGCGATTTGATTGGATTGTACGCCAGCGAATACAGCCAATCATAGCCATCGACAGACGGACTGTAAACATCATATCTTATTGTCTACGGACTTTAGAACTATCGAGGACTCTGATTGGTTGTATACACTAACGTACAATCCAATCGCTGTATTTGCAAACCTCTGTGACACAAGAAAGGTGGCTATTGTAGTCAAGTATGGATTTCTTTGTCAATTTCATTCCTTATTTCTATTCGTTTCGGTTGGGTGTTATGTTATGTAAGTGCAACGAAAATGTATGGAATGTAATTTTAGTATAGTTTTTCTGACAGTTTAACCGAGTTTATATTTAATTATTCATGTCTTTACTTATCCCAATTTCCATGCACCTGTAATGCACATTTTTACCAAAGTGTCTGCAGTGGCAGATCTATAACAACAGGTGCAAATGAATTCTAATTTTATAAAAGACATTCTGACTTTTGACAATGTTCCCCTTTTCTTTTGCTCCAAAGTACATACAAAGCGTCTATATATCAAGTCTTTAAGTCTTTAATATTACGTCTAATGGGGCTAAGATGCATACGGTTCCGAATAAGAATAGTGGTCATAAGTTTCGAACGCAGGTCTCATACAGCTGAGTGGTAAGTTGCGTTCGGTTCTCATTATTTGCAACATGACGCATACGCAACTGCGTGTGAGGGCACCTTAAAACGCTTCCTACGCCTTAATAACAAACGTTTTTAATTAACCTTAGCAATTAAAAGTTATTTAGAATGATTAATGGTATAGCACGTTCTTCATTGTCGAATTATTTACATGGTGCTAAATCTTCCGTGGCAGTGTACATAAACTGTTTCTTAAATTAGACGCTTAATGGTTTTAAAAGTGATAAAAATCATTTTCAAATCAAGAGCTTCTTAAATAACGTTATACTTTCACATTGGTAGCATTAAAAAAGACGACACCCAATTCAAAACGTTTGATATTATACTCTGGGCCGTATGCAGCACTCGTACTAAACATTAACTTTGACTAAAGTTGGATTTAAGCCGAACTTTGAGTGTGTACCGCTCAAACTTGTTGTGCTTAACATTTACTTTCAAACGTATAAAATGAAAGCTGTGGAAAAGTTACCTCGGTAGATGACTTCAGCTAAACTTTATGTCGGACATGTATTGCAATTGCCATTGCTATCTTACATACTTATATAGCTGTGAATGAATGACTTGATCTACCAGTGCCAAATTTGTATGCTATAAAATAGCGCATATACATGTGTGATTGGATGAAAACTAAAAACTCTGGAAAAAATATTAATTGCAACAACAACGGTCTATAATAACTTTTGTCACGAAATCAATACTTTGTTAAGTACGGCTTTAAATAAAAAAAACGTGCATACCAAATAAAGTTAAGTCTGTCTTAATCTTTACTTTAAATAGTCAGACTTTAACCAAAGTTTAACGTATACAACCCTTTACACAAAACACACTTTCTCCTTTGTGCATTATTCAATACAGGATGTGTTCGGTTAAATAATTATTATGCAGAGACATGTATTGCATTGTAAATAACTTGACATAATTTCATTCAAATAACTCAAACATATAATTGTGTTAACTTGATGGAGAACCACCACAAAATTTTACTGCCTAGTAGTGCGAAGTAGTTTTACATGGACTGCTTGAAACAAACCTTGAGTACTGACTGAACCTATTGTCAAAATGGTTTCAATTTAAATATCAGGTTTCTGTAATGGTCGTATTAAATTGGAACCATCCATAAGATGGAACCAAAGCCATAATACATTACAAATGAATTAATCAATGAATGGAATCGTGTTTAAAAGTTGATTAAGAAGACGACGTAACAGAATGCCCAAAACAACTAAATTCATGCAAATAGCATATTGAGAACGAAAACCTATATGTATATTCGAATATAAACTGAATTTCGACCAACAAAGTTGCTTATACAATCCAAAACTAGACATGGATTTTGGATTCAGATGTTATAGATTCATTTTGGTTTGGGGTCATTAATCATGCAAATCAGGAACGAATTAGTATATCAATTGGTTTTAGAAAAGCTGAAAGTTAATGAGAAACAATAGAATAGGCACATTGATTGATTACTTCTAATAATTATATACATCTGAACACAAAATGCTGCTACAAGATTCAGTACAAATTAAAATTAGTTATCTATTTTAGATAAAGATAAAATTTAATCTATCAGTTGACATTTAAATCACATCTTAAATATCTATTTTAAAAATATTTAACATAAATGTATAATATTGTTGTATAAGTTTTTAACTGGGATGATTTAGATCAAGTTTTGTCACATGTTATATCTTTGTTAAGTCAATACTGTTTGAACTTACTGACCAAAAACTGTGTGGTTTCACTTTCTTACCATGTGTTTGACCACAGAGTCTGACCAGTAGACATGTTTCACACCTTTGATGTCAATCTTTGATCTATGACCTTTTATGAAATCAATTACATCTAACATATCATGTTCATATTGATTGCTGTTTCCTCAGCAGGATTGAAAACGTCATTGTTTGCAGAAGCTCGAAATTCATATCGGTTTGAAGGGTTCTAGGACTTACTGAAATTCCAATTCGTGACCTTGCTCATCTATACAATGTCAAGCTATACGAACTTCGTCTTAAACCTTGACTGCAATAACCACTTTTTGTGGTTTGATTGGAACTTTATGGCTTATGTCTCCAAACTGTCTGTCGAAGACTCTGATTGGCTGTATTCGCTACTGTACAATCCAACCAAATCGGTGCATTTACAAACTTCTGTGAAACAAGAACGTTGGTTATTGTTAAGATACCGAATTATCGTAATAGCTTGGTAAGATGAGCCTTATTCTGTCCTAATGTTCTTTTATTCTTGTAGAAATTTAGCCACATCGAAATTTGAACCTGTTGATGCCAGAAGAGCATTCCCATGTTTTGATGAGCCAAATATTAAAGCTGAGTACACGATAAGATTAGTCCACAGACCAGAGTATACACCTTTATCCAATATGCCAGTGGTAAGATCTTTAAGAACCTTTCAGGATTGGTTCAGGTCGTTCATGCGATTGGCAGAATCTGATAGCAACTTGAAATTCACCGACTGCTAGCAACAGTCGAAGAATCTGTCCAATCGCTGAAATCAATGAAACTGGACACAGCGATCACTATAATCGTAGGTGTCATCTGTTGCTCGTATTCTACATTCATGAACAACAAAATGAACTGCTCGTGGACCGGATCTGATCCGATTAAATGTTTTGTATTGCCAGTCAACCTGAGCCCACCTTTACTCTAATACAGTAACACAGTCAACTGAGTCCACAGACGTTTTGGATTTGTTTTCTGGCTGTCTTTTATGACTAATTGATTTTACTTGAGTCATGGGCGCACAGAATACACCAAGCAAGAGACTCGGGATCAAAAGGGTGTCATCAAATACGAAATAATCAGACGCACTGACCAATCAAATCAAACAGCTGTTCTGTTGTTGCAGAAATCTAAAGGCCAGTCGATTTGGCAACAAGAATCGAGGATATCCAAGAAGAGAATTTTTCTGATCTGGCAATTCTTCTTTTCTCAGGGCATTTGAGCGTCCACATAGAAAATCTTTTTCGATAATAAAATTTAGTTGTCGCATCGGTGGAACTTTTGCATTCATTTGCGAACATATCGGTTTGTTCTATTTAGAACCATTTGCTTTGGAGTATTCGAATGTTAGATAATTTGTCTTATTGTAGGATAGCACAAGCGATTTTGCGACTAATTTGGTGCGGACAACGTTTAAAAAATCTGTTAAAATGAGCACTTATTTGGTTTGTTTTATTGTATGTGATTTTAAATATATAGAAGTTAACACGACTACAAATAGAACGGTGAGTGCGTTTTGTGATATTGTTTTGGAAATGACAAAAGGCGGCAGTTGGAACTTGAATCTTGATCCCAGCCTTCTATCCATTTGCACGCACTAAATGATAATCGGATGAGTGTCTTGTTATCGCCATTGATTATACTGATGATGCAGTCATTGTTGTTACTGATTATACTGTCGATGCAGTCGTTGCTATTGATTTTACTGATGATGTTAATGAAGACTGTGTTGACCTCACTGATGATTATGTTGTGCTCATATTTCATCGAGCTCAATAAAATTCAGTAGTGAAGTACCTTAAATTCACTTTTATATTTCATGAGTACTTACTTCAGTACAGTTAATGATTTAAAGTTACATTTTAGACTTTGATATATCATTTTGTGTCCACTTGAATAGATATGAAAACTGTTTCAAGTTGATATTGTCATATTTTATAGTTAAGAGTTTACGCTACCCCTGATAAAATAGACCAAGCTAGTTATGCACTCAACGTAAGTAAACATACTATGGAATATTATGAGAAGATATTTGATCTGCCTTATCCACTCCCTAAACAAGGTAAGTGATATATAGGACGTGTCATATCAACATTATTTACATCTCATTATCTTTTTAAAGATGGCTTCCCTCTTTTGTTTTTCTCATTAATATGAGCTCGGTCGATTTGGGTATTGGGGAAGATCTTAATGTGAAATAATTGCATTACATTTTAGGGAAATTAGGGCTTCATAAAGCTCCTTGGTTGTAATCTCGTTTTTATCCAAAAGGACATTTAGACATTACCGCAAGTGCGAAAGGTGCAAAAGCATTAAGTGAAACTGTTGGTTACAATGAATGGATGTCGAGGGATTTTCGTCAACAAATGTGAATAGACAATGAAATATAAAATCGTCATTCAACCATGAGAATATGTATTATAAAACCAAACTGGCAAATGAGATCCAAAAAGTGATGAGTATCAATCGAATACCTTACAGATCAAGAAATTGGTTAACCCATGTTAAGACTATTTTTTGTTGTTATAGATATGATTGCTATTCCTGATTTTGTATCTGGTGCTATGGAACACTGGGGTTTGATAACATACCGAGAGACCAATTTACTATATGATGAAAACAGTGCTTCCTCCGCTAACAAACAACGTGTTGCAGCAGTTATAGCTCATGAAGTAGCTCATCAGGTAGGTTCTTGTCATTGGCCCGAGTGCTCCGCAGCTATAGCTATGTTTGAAGGAAATCTCTTTGAAAACATCTCTCTGTTAAGTAGGACCTAGCGTTAGATTCGACTCCTTTCAGTATTCCTAATTGCTCATGCAGATTACAAAATGTTATGCATATCATGTATAGACAACCATTAACCTCCTCATCCGTAGTGTTATGAATATTATTCATACAATTGCCTATATATCGTACGTTTCAGTATTTATCAAACGTGTCTAATGGTGTTGTTTCTAAGATAATAGGCAAGGGTAATATCAAACTTGATCGTTAGATGAATACAGGATTATTATGCATCATATTATACAATCATAAGGTTTGTGCAATATCTAAAATGTACTATTACAGTGGTTTGGTAACATTGTTACCATGGATTGGTGGGATGATCTCTGGTTAAATGAAGGTTTCGCCAGTTTTATGGAATATATCGGAGTTTCTTCATATGAAACTGACTGGGATATGGTAAGTTGGTAACATATTTTGACTGAAAGTGTAAGTACAAACGTAGATGTAACGTTCGAAATGAAGTTAAAGAAAGACACCTTTCCTCATTTTCAACAAGGGAGATAATAAACTATCCAAGTAAATGATATAGAGTGAGAAAGGTTGCAATACATAATCCAAAAGACTTGAAAAAATGGAAAACAGATTGGAATCGAATCGAATCAAGCGATGGCATGAGATGTTTATAATATATGGTCTATATTAGTTTCACAATAATGCAGGGTTTAATTCAAGTGGTATCGTACCACAATTTGCGATTAAATATAACCTTTTTTGCGACTCAATATATCTTAGGATAAGCAAAAATTAGAAGATCATTTCCAATTGCATAATTACTACAGACCGTCTAATCTAAAAATTGCTGGATCCAATATATTTTACAATTTGATTAGTGCTGTTGATTGTCATTATTATACTGTTTTAGACGCCATTGGCCATCGATATGAAATCTACAACCTGAGCATTTTGAATTACTGCTGAATATTTATGAGATGCCAATCAAAATTTTTAATTTAAATAGTAACGTTTCATATACGTTTTATTTCAAGGGAAGCAATTCTCTGCAATTTTATTTGACCACTGAGGATACTTATGTGAGCTGGGGTTATTTAGACGGTAGGCAGGGGAGGCTGTTGGGGGTATTCTCTTATATTGAGAGATACTCATTGTACCTCCGTGCAATGCTTCGAATTACAGTACTCCGAAGACTTATTAGGTGTTGCCGTCTTTCATCTCTCTTGACGTTAAGACTCTCGCTCGAATTGGACTAGGGACTTAAATTGAACTCTCTTTTCCACTCACTCTTTTTTTCCTGTCTCTTCTTCCATCCTCTCTTTTCCACTCTCTCTTTTGTCCTGTCTCTTCGTCCACCCTCTCTTTTGTCCTGTCTCTTCGTCCACCCTTTCTTTTGTCCTGTCTCTTCTTCCATCCTCTCTTTTGTCCTGTCTCTTCTTCCACCCTCTCTTTTTTTCCTCTCTCTTTTTTCCTGTCTTCTTCCATCCTCTCTTTTGTCCTGCCTCTTCTTAAATCCTCTCTATTGTCCTGTCTCTTTTACCATACTCTCTATTCTACTGTTTCTTTTACCATACTCTCAATTGTACTGTTTCTTTTACCATACTCTCAATTGTACTGCCATGACTTAATTCCTCTCTTCTTTGCAACTTTCTTGTTCTTCCCTATCTCATCAATAATGATGGGGAATTAATTTACTATTATCAGATGGACCAATTTTTAACAGCCGATCTACAACCAGTGATGGAAACCGATGCCGGTCTCGAATCTCACCCTATCGTAGTTCCAGTTCAAAAACCCAGTGAAATAAACGAAGTCTTTGATGCTATATCATACCAAAAGGTAAATAGTTCTAGTTTAATAACACTTCGGCTATATTTTATTTTAAACCTTCTTGGTGTATCGATCATTTCAGATCATGATACGTCTTGTCTGTTTTGTTTTGTAAAACTGGATAGCTCCCTGTGATTACTGATGTAGAAGCATTGCGGTATTATGTTCTACTTACGGATTTAAATATATTCAATCCAGTTTTAAAGAGACATTGATTCGTCGTACTGTTACTATTTATATATATGACTTATTTTAGGGTTCCTCTGTTATAAGGATGATGGAATCTATTATGGGAAAAGACAAATTTTTCCAGGGTGTTGCGGTAAGAATATTTAAGTTAACAAAGTAAACTATTTCCGCAAAGACTACATAGTTAAAGGTAATGGTTTGTGTGATGACATATATGTCGGATCAAGCAAAGACAAGTCATTTTAACTTGGTCATTAACGTGGATAATTCTAAATAAACGTGGATTTGACGACTCAAACGGACGGGTGAGCTGTGAACATTTTAAGCTTAGCTAAAAGATTCCCGTTTCTGAGACTATTGGCACGTACGATTGATCAAGCGGATTGCGAATGCGTCCCTTTATATAATTGTATCTATTGACTATTGACTTTCAACCAGCAACTTTTTCAAAATTTTCATCTAGCAAATTATTGTATGCATAGCAGTCATCTATATGTTTTATTCTTCCGTTTAGAAATATTTAAAGCAATATGAATGGGGCAATGCTATAACAGACAACTTATGGCAGTCTTTGAGTGAGGTAAGTTAGATATTTGAGTGAGTTTATCTGCTTTCCCGGTGTTTTCCGGATTTCCAAGTGTCTCTTCATTGCGTTGTAGTGTTGTTATCAGCCACGCACTGACTTTCAGTGCTAACAAGGGGAGTTCAGACACAGTCCAACGTCCAATCTTGACATAAAATACGCTGATATACACGTATATCAAAAAGGAAATGTGCGTTTAAAATCTTGCAATTAGAGACCACCTTATATAGCAAACGCGATTCTCTATATAAAGTATAAAACATGAAGGATAAATGTATGATTCAACTATATTTTAAAGGTTGAAGGCTCGCTTGACGTGAAACATATAATGGATACATGGACACGACAGATGGGATATCCTTATATAAATATATCTTATTCTCCACCATCAGCAACAGGACAAACTACAGTTACAGCAAAACAAAGACGATTTCTTAGTGATGCCAATACCACATTTGATCCCAGTGTATCTGAATTCGGGTAATGCTAAAATCCATGCAAGTTAACGATACGAATCTCCGCAAATGGGAGATAACTGTGCAGATCACAAAATGTATTAATACCAAGCAAATAGTATTGTTCAGATGATCTATAAAGATAATTATGTTGGTACTCCTTAACTGACTACGTTTTATCGATGACCCTTTCACTATTTATTGTCGTTGAATCCAAGGACACTCTATAGGGTCGTATGGCTAAAAAGCTAGTCTTCAGTTTTATCTAATAGAATCTATATTTTTGCTATAGGTATAAATGGTACGTTAATCTGGATTACGTCACTTCCGATGGTAAAAATGGAAGCTACATTCTAGATTTAAATGATGGTAGGTAAATATAAACTTCTTTAGACAATTAAATAGAAATATTGGGAAAAGTATGGAATTCTAACATGAACTTATTCTATGTGTTGCTTTCTTAATTTTAAAGTTTGTTTCAAAATAACAAGAGCTGCGAAAAAATCCTCACTCCAATTTGTCACATTTCATGGGATTTTGTAAACAGTGTGCGTCTATTCTTGTTTTTTTATGACTGTGATAAAAAGTAAGATTCTCATATGAATAATTCACTATTTCAGGATCATTTACTGTTGATATTGACATGTCAATCCCAAATAATTGGATTAAATTCAACATTGGACAAACTGGATTCTATAGAGTTACCTATTCAGATGAAATATGGAGAAGGTTTGGTTCCAGTCTTACCAATGGTCAGAAAGGAGTAAGTAGGTTCTAAATACATTTGGATGTACTATGACAAAGTTCATCTCTTGTTGATGTCATAGTTCAGAGTACTTATATGATCAAACGATACATGATGTTCTTGGGTGTAACCGGAAATACCAATGAGAGGTTTGGCATATGCATAAGCAGTGTAGCAGTAGCCTTCATTTTAATATAGACTTTTTATGGCAGGGTACACTCCATAGTGGAACATCTGACTTCGACCAGATTTGTTGATTTGGCATTCCGTTCGAAGAGTCGACATTTTAACAATACTTGTTTATTAAATCTAATTAGTGATGTTCGCCTTTCTAGTCTTTACCAATTCGTCCTGTGGATAGATCAGCATTAGTTGATGATGCATTCAGTCTAGCTGCTGGTGGATATTTAAATTATGACGTAATGATGGATATGACATTATACCTCGATAAAGAAGATCATTATCTGCCTTGGAAATCAGCTGGAAATGGAATAGACTACATCACTAACATGTTAGAACATTCTGGTAATTTTGGTCCATGGCGGGTAAGATGCTTTAGTTTATGATGACATGACACAAAATGACATCATCGACAAAATTACAGGGCCATGATGGTTCTGTGTGATGAATGGTTTGGACTAGGCGAAACGCATAACATTTCAAAACAGTCGCCTAGACATCATCGACAAAATTATTATATGAAGATGTTATTCATAGGCTCTTGATGGTTCGATAAGATATATGGGTCGACTCAAAAGGATACCATTAAAAAAACACCCAAAAAACCCCAAAACGTCGCTTTGTATGTATATAAAGACCTAGTTGTAAAATAATCTTATATCATATTACCTAGCATTGACGGTCTAAATATCTAATTATATGCAACAATATTTTAAAGGACAGACACTTTTATTTCCATCTTGAATGTTAAGCTCTACGTTGTAATATCTGTTCCTTTCTTTACACAGCGATAAATTGTTCTTTAGGAATATGTATTAAGTAAAGTAAAGCCTGCTCTAATAGAGATTGGATGGGACGACACAGGGTCACATCTAGAGAAGTAAGTCTAGTGATACTATAGTATTAGGACATTTTTTGTTTTAAGGAAGAAAAATATTAACAATTTTGTGGATTAAAGGGAGGTAACTATTCAACATTCACTTAAGTTCTTAATTAACATGAGAAACTATACATGAATGTTTCAATTTCATGTTGATTTCACGTTCTTGTCTTAACTGTATGTAAACATGTTTTTTGTTAACTTTAGATTATTACGCGTAGAATTAATTAGTCTAGCATGTTACCATGGTGATGAAGATTGTTTAAATTTTGCTGGAACGAAATTCCGAGAATGGTTGAGTAAAGGAACCCCGTAAGTAAAATATATAGTTGTCTTCGGTTATGGAAGACATGCTAGACCTTGTCCATGCCATAGCCCCGCTATGAAAAAGGTAGCCTAGTTGTGTTTGGACTTTGAGCAGCGCCAAGAAAAAACAAGAAAAACACATTGAATGCCGCAATTTGTCTGAAAATTGGCTGAATTATAGAAAATTTCAATGCCAGTACAATTTATTCATGCACAACTTTGCAGAAATATCATTTGAAAGGTTTTGCACATACTTTTCCGAACTGCTTAACTTGTATAAAGTTACACGAAAATTGATGCCTGTATAACGCACCCTGTCAAGCTATTACGAACTTCGCATGATACTTTGATTGCAATTAGCACTGTTCTTACATTTACAAACTTCCGTAACACGGAAATTGTGGCTATTGTAGTCCAGGTATAATTAAGTTAGTTATTGACATTGTGAAGATGTAACCCCATATGCCTAATGGACTTACAATAGATTTACTTTTTCAGCGTGAGTCCAAACTTGCGAACTATAGTGTACAGATATGGTATGGCTAAAGTTGGTACCTCAGATGACTGGGATCAAATCTGGTTGAAATATAAACAAGAAACAGTACCACAAGAACGAGTAAAATTACTCTATGCTTTATCTCAAACTAAAATTGTTTGGCTTCTAACAAGGTTTGTTTCATTACAGCGTTTCAATTATATGTGTCCTGTCGCGAGCTTGGTTCTTGCTTGTAATTTTGGTAGATTACAGACTCGATGGTGCTGTTTTGATGTTGGCTTCCGATCTGGCTACCTCTTTGTAGAGATGCTAGGTCGGTATGTGTATGAGGATCTCGGAACATTAAGGAAATTGGAACTAGACTATCACCATAAATGTCATTGCATTCCACATGGTATATTGCCAATCTTTTAACCTATAATGTAACTAACTATACCACGTTGGTTAGTCCATTACAAATTATAACAGTCACAGAAACATGCCAGTTAGAGGGGACAGGTCTTTTTCCAATGGGACCAAAAACCATTTGTTTTTCAATCAGTTAGGTCTTTTATCGCAACGCTTCCTGTAGACGTCAAACGGTAACTACCTTTACCGGAGACATAAAAATTAATAAACGATATATGTATCGAATGTCATTAATTTTTTGATATTTGAAATTTGCCAAGAAGGCAGTCATTACTGCTCTACCATTGTAATCTACGTTTTCATAGAAAGAAGCAAGAAATACAATATTCCCAAAATAAGTGTAAATTTTTATTGAATTACAGATATTTAGAATATGCTAACAACGAAGACAAAGTTCGATCACAAGATTTCTTCACAGTGGTAAACTATATCAGTAGAAATTCAATAGGGAAAGATATCACTTGGAATTGGGTTCGTGAAAACTGGCAAAAACTCGTGGATAGGTAAGATTTTCCACATCTACAACCTCGAAAAAGTTTTAATTTTGTCTGGTTTACAGATACAAATGTAATTTTACTAGCACAAACACAAATGGCGATGGACAGATCTTACACACTTTTCTGGTCATTATATTATAGATTTTAACAGCCTTAATAATAATATATTTCAGATTTACATTGTATTCTCGTTCACTGGGTAGACTGGTACCAAACATAGTCAGTAGTTTTAATTCCGATTTCAGACTTAAAGAGGCAAGTTCCTTCTCTTTTTCTGTTATATTTTTTATGTAATCTTTGGTCGTAAGAATGGTCAGTGAAAGAGCATTAAGATACACGAGATAATGTCTCTGTATCGTGAAAATCTAGATAAGAATCATTTCGACTAAACGTTTTGGTGTATCCGTCATAATCCCATTCCGCTAACCATGTTTTAACACCATTGTGTCTACATCTAAACAGAATCTCCTCTTCTAGAATATCTGATCATTTATTAACATTATACATAATAGTGTATAGTATATAATTATCTATATTTTAGGTGGAAGCATTCTTTAAACTATATCCTGACGCTGGGTCTGGTGCTAGGGGTAGAAAACAAGCATTAGAGTCTATTCAAGTTAATGTTAATTGGATGAACAAATACAACTCTGTCATTATACAATGGTTAAAAGACAATGCATAATTATTTTTCTATGCTGACTGTCCACGAACAAAGGAATGAAATCGGATTAATTGTGATTATTTGCCCAATTGCTATTTCGCAAATTGCTTCTAGCTTATCTGGGATAGTTCAGATGCATGCTGCCGGGGCTTTTAATTGTACATGCTCTAATAGTCAGGTCAATGCGATTTTGTATTTTCGGTACTCGTTGCTTATATTTTCTATTAAAATATTCATAAAAGCAATTTTGTTCCCCTTAAATGCAGCTAGAAAATGCCTTAAAAGTAAAAGAAAAATAACGATAGATCAAAAATAGATAGCTTTATCAAGTATTCAGAATAAAAAAAATGGCTTGAACGTTTCTTTTTCTAATGAATAAATTTGCTCAGAAATGGCCCATCTTCTACCAATGTTGTATCAAAGCAAATGGGGACAGTGTAACTGTTTTAAAAGCAAAACTCAATGTGCGTAGATATTTAAAAAAAAAAAATATTATAATTATTAGAGTGTTGTATTAATTGTTAACTAATATCGTTGTCTATTTATCTTACTTCTTCAGGGATGATTTTATGTGTTGTTCCATTATATTGTATATATACACGATTGTTTCAATTGTTTCTTCATATTATTGTATTATATGACAAGGATTTCGGAACTAGTTTGTGTCTGAATAACCCTTACAAGATGTAATTCATTTTCTAATAGATAGATCTTTAATAAAAATGTTTAATAGTTTCTGTTTTTGTCCACGATTCGCATTATGTTCCCAAAGCCGTAGTTCCTAACAAGGGGTACCTAGGAAGCTTCTGGGGTACTGCACTGGAAGTGTTTTGTATCCTAACCTTATCTAGTGCTATAGTTCCCAATATAGTATATCCTTATGAGAATTCTGAGAAGAGTTTCGGCAAGGAACTGAATATCCAAAGAAATGACGAAATGTCACACTTTGGCGATTATTTGGAGCAGTGTTTCTTATTTATAGATTGTCTTTGGCTCTAAACAACTTCCACTAGACACAACTGTAGAGTTCTAGAGTCTAGAATAATAATAATAATAACTTTATTTTGGCAACGAGTCATAATGTTTACGCATGATATGTGGAATTGCAATTTGGAACTCTAATGTTGACCGGAGCATGGGTGCAATCAGTTTTGGTTTCTTAAATTTCGCATAACTGAACAAGAATCGGGTGTTAAAGAATAAAATGCTTAAAGAATAGAGTCTTTTTCATTTTTTCATGAACATCTTTATACTATAGAATTAAAAGAAGAAATACGAGCATAGTTCAATCAAGATTTAAGACAAGTCACAATATACAATAATAATACAAGGAATATAGATATAAGTATTATTATTATTAATCAGATCATTCTACTTACATACACTCAGATCAAGATGAAAAAATAACATGTCATAAACCCAATTCTTTAGCTAACCAATACTATAGATCAGATCAGATTTCAATTAAAAACCACTTTCAAAGGCTGTCAGACCTTGTTGACATGTACGGCGTTTTATTTCTCACACGAATTCACCGTCGTTGCCAAAGCAAGAAAGGATTTTGTGTTGGCGTGCATGGTAGTGCTACTGAAATGTTCTTACGATTAGATCAATATCTCGAGATAAATACAATTCAGCCTTTCATACTGTCTGTATCACTTTACATGTTGGTCAACATATCAAGATAGTTTAATACTTTAGTCGTATTCAATTTGCCGTGTATTGAAATAAATGAATTAAACTTTATGATATTGTCCCGGATTATCAACTCAAGGTGCAATGGAGACTTTAAGTGCTTGACAAGATTGTGCATGGTGTGTGTGGTCTACAATAGACGATATCATTTCTAGACTAGAGATTTAGGTGCATATTACACACAGAAATGCCAAATATTCAGTTGTATATATTAAATATTTCAATTGATATGAATATATAAAAATTGTTGATAATATCATACCACATTTAAAATAACATGTTCATAATCAAAGGCTCGACAAGCCAGATTTAAAAATTTTACACAGATCTGTAGAGGGTGGGGTTGGGTTCCATCATCCCAAAATTAAAAGACAACAATATAAAATATATATCAAAAATAATTATATAAATTTCTTTTGATCAGGTTGCATATTCAGAAATATTATTTCAATTTTTCATTATTCTAATTAATGATATAATATTTAAAATAATAATTCTGTACCAAGAGTTCTATGCTCTGAAAAATGTTTTAAATTAGAAAAGGAATAACAAAACATACTTTGTAAATCGACATGCATTTATGTACACGCATTTTGTGAGAAACACCTATACCTTTGAAATGTGGTGGAAAAAATAAAATTTGACTTTAGAGTGTGACTTTTTTTCGATTTCCTAGTCGAGTGTTATAGCTTTTAAATCCAAACAATGCATTCATTTATGACAATGGAATTAATGTTTCTGTGAAAAATTCACGAAGCTATACTAATTTTAAACAATCAATTTTTTTTAATGCATTTTGATACAGGCTTTAAATTGTAATATTATAACGTGCGTTTTAAATACTTCCACTGATGGTTTTATATATTTAATAGTGACAATAGTTGAACCAGAAGAGAGAAGAGGAGGTGATCCTGAGAAGACCATTGTAAAAGGAAATGACCAAGCATCAGCTGTTTAATTAGGTTTATGAAAAACTTGTTATGTAGTTAAAAGTATTTTTTTTTGTGTCCATTGATAGTACCAAGAAAAACTAAATAGTGTACTATATGACCCAGGAGAAAAAGAGACGTGATGTCTATAAGAAGGCAGTGCCAAAACTGACAAGGTTCGTCTTAATACAATATTACAATACCAAACAGTTGGTAAAAGTTTATCTTTAATAAAAGTCTATTCATCATTTTATCGATTACTATTCAAATTCTAAAGAACTCGACAAGCTTAAATTACATTATGACGACCAATTAGAGCCCTGGGTACACATCAGGGGTGACGATTGCACTGATTCTACCCTGTCGAGTGAAAAGAAGAAGTATTCAATCGTTTTGCTCCTTTCTGACGAAATAATGTTAAGTTACGACAGGCGTATGTCTATTGGTTAAAAGTTGAAGAAGGATCAATAGAAATGAATAGAAGGGTGAGATAGACAGGTACGACAAGTGTTGTGATATGATGAAAACTCAATTCTCTGTGGTTTAAACACGATTTACTTCTCAACACCATTAGATCTACAGTCTAATCCAGTACATTACATTGTTCTCTACATAATACAACGTCTCATATTACTAACCGCTGTTTAATAAGAGCCATTTGTAAAAAGGGTGATATCAGATTTTAGAAGAAGGGTACTTGTAAGAATACAAAAGATTATGAGGAATCAGTTATCAGTTAGAAAAACTAAAACTAAACTAATATCAATTGATATAAACTCAAATATACCCAATTTTGTGTTATGACACGAGGGGTGTTTGAGGGCATTTTCAATTGAGAACAGATATATCATCACACAAAGATTTTGTTATTGGATATTTGTAACATCCAGGCACTACTTGCATGATTCAACTATTTTACTTGGACGATACAGGTTCTGTTGAATGTTTTATGTGAAGTAACATATCTTTGTTAAATCTTATAGTGTGCTCCGAAAACCGATAAAAATGGTTACCTATTTACTTCCATGCATTATATATCCGTTTTTAATCATAAACAGTTTTCTGCGTGAAATGGAAACCAGTACTTTTCAGATGTTGGATGGCGTTGGCGATCCAAAAATGTGAAGCACACACTGTCTAACCTATTAATAATAATCTTATTGAATAAACATGGTATGATGCCATGGTATAAGTTCAGTTCTGTACATTATTTTAACGATCATAATTTTCAAAACGTTTTTCAATATTTTCATTGTAGAAACTATATAAAATATAATTCTGAAGTGTAGACATAATTTTATAACATTTCAACTGAATATTTTGTTTGATTATGCAATTGGTGAAATTCCATAATTATACATCAACATAATTACCGTATAAGTCGAGAGTTGAACTGTTTAAATTAGGGATAAGTGGGCAGAGAAATCGAGAAATCAAGATTGAAGTGGAAAGTAAAGATTGCTTCAATATAATGAAGTGTTATCTATATAGTAATTAACTAGTAATTAATAACACTGATACGTGGAAGAATAAAAGACCTTGGTTATTTATTTTATAGAGAGGAAATTATCAGCATCTTAAGATGAACGCTTGGAATGTTATGGGAGAAACAAAGCAGAGAATAAGCTGTTTATTTTGTGTTAATTCTGTCCGAATGGTCATGCTGAAACATGTTTTTATAGCCTTCTCATCCAGATTTAGTCAAATAATTCACCGTCATTTCATTTGCCTTTATCAGCTAGTTTAACGTTCACTTCGTTCAACAAAAATCTAAAAACCGGATATAAGCATCTGATGAGTTCCTGTGCTAGGCTTGAGTAATCAGTGAGCAATATTGTTCTCGGTTGAGTGCTGTTTTATAACACAGGACAGCCCACGTTTTTGTAGAACCTTTTCTTGTTCTTTGGGTTTCTCATAAGACGTGTGCAATTGAGTTTTATAGTTTCAATACCAGTACAAATCTTTGATGATAATTTGCAGCATAAATATTACCTTGAACGAATTGACCGTCGCACATCATTTTTTTTTATCCTTCGGTGTGCATCCTAAATAATAATATTTCAGTCAAAAATCAGGCGTTCGATGTAAATATATTGAAACGAATGGAATTTTAAGTACTACTTTTCTACACCAAACGTTGTCGCTGTCATCATATAGATATTTTCTCATAAATTTCAAACTGCAAATTTAACGTTGTAAAGGTGGTAAATTGTCTCCTCAAATCGGACCACAGACCAACATAATGGTTCTATTAGTTTCAGCTATAAGAATAAGTAGTTGAATTTTTATATTTAAATCCAATTCATTGAGACGAAGGTTGTCCAGACTGACCAGTCCATAACAATATTTAGGTAACATTGACACAAGTTTTAACTTTCAAAACAAGAAAAGTACATA